AGTCTGCCAAAATTGGGATTTAATGGCCGGTCAGGGTTGATATTCGATATCGTACCCGCTGATTTCGACGGCCCATTTGGCCAATCATCCCGAGAGTTCAGGTTAATGCATTATATTTCATATAGGGTAGGTCGTCACAACACATATAGGATGGCACTGAAAATATAGTTTCAGTTTCCTAGAGGCACTTAGCAAGGCGAGTGCCTATTTTTCTAGGTGAGGGAATCTAGTTTCGGCCTCACCTAAGGTCCTACTGACATAATAAATCGGATATTGCATTCATTGTTCCTCTCGGACTAGGACTGCACTTACCGCTACTTTCGATACCGCTAGGTACAAGTACAGTCGTTCGTCCGCCCTCAGCGTGTGAAGCAATGATGGGCTCGATAAGTATCGCTTAAGTTCCTCTAAAGCTTGTTGACATTCTGGGGTCCATGTGAAGTTGTTCTTCTTTTTCAGCAGCGAGAAGAATCGATGACATCTATTGGATGACCTCGAGATGAATCGACCTAGGCTGCAATGCGCCCTGTTAGCCTTTGCACAGCATTCACATTATCCACTACCGTGATATCCTCGATAACTTTGATCTTATCGGGTTTGATCTCGATTCCCAAATTGGACACCATGAATCCGAGAAACTTGCCGGACCCGACCCCGAATGCACATTTTTCTGGATTCAGCTTCATGTTGTACTTCTTTAGTATACTGAAGGTTTCCTGCAAATGTTTTAAATGGTCCTCTGCTCGTAGGGACTTAACTAGCATATCGTCAATATAGACTTCCATGGTTTTTCCTATTTGTTCTTCGAACGTTTGGTTTAATAGTTGTTCGTATGTGGTACCGGCATTTTTTAATCCGAATGGCATTACGTTATAGCAGTGCGTGCCATATTTAGTGATGAAAGAGGTTTTTTATTGGTCGCCCGAGTTCATCCGTATTTGTTTGTACCCGAAATAGGCATCGAGAAAACTTAGAGTCTCGTGGTCGGCCGTGGAGTCGACCATGCGATCGATGTTAGGCAACGGGAAATAATCTTTGGGGCATGCTTTATTTATGTCCGATTGGGTCGAAGCTGGCACTGATAATTGCTATTTGGTTCCTTGTTTCGCTTTCGAACCTGAGTCATTTATTGATGACAGTGTTGATATCAGAATTACTTTATCGACTGCAAACATCTCCTTCGCAGCAGGTTGTTCCCCGTAAACTGTCTTTATCCCCTCCGGTGTTGGAAATTTTCATACCTCGTGCAGGGTCGAAGGCACAACCCTCATGTTATGGATCTATGGTCTCCCGAATAGGGCGTTGTATCGCATGTTCCCCGTGATTACATAGAACTTGGTTTCTCAGATGGTACCGGCAATGTTATTTCTCCATTAGTATTTTAACAAGCCATGTTGAATCCATTCAGTACTCGGGCTGCTGGTACGATCTGATCTTGCAGGCCGAGTTGTTCTACGACCCTCGATCGTAGGATATTGTCCGAGCTACCTGGATCAATTAGCACACGCTTAACTCTAGTTTTATTTATAAGTACAGAGATTACTAGTGCTTCATTATAAGGTTGCATGATTCCTTCCACGTCCTCGTCGTTGAAAGATAGAGTCCCTTCTGGTAAGTAATCCCGAGTCTATTTTTCTCTTGTGATTGATATCTTGGTGCGTTTAATCATCAGACCTTGGGGAATATCGACCCCTCTGATGATCATATGGATGACGTGCTAGGGTTCGTCTTGTCAATTTTGTTTGTTGGAATCTCTGTTTCTGAAGTGGTTCTTAGTTCGGTCACTCAGAAATTCTCGACGATGACTGTCATTAAACAAACGGGCTACTTACTCCCTTAGTTGCCGACAATCTTTCGTCCTGTGGCCTTGTCTGCCATGATATTTGCATATTTGTTGGGATCCCTTTGTGCTGGATCAATTTGCAAAGGTCGAGGCCACTTAGTATCTTTGATGTGTCCAATGGCCGATACGATGGCAGTTGCATCCACATTAAAGTTGTACTCCGACAATCGTGGTGCTTCTTTGGGACCGATAAATCTATCGAAGCCGTTTTTACTCATAAGTCCCTGTGAACATTGACCTCGATCATTTCTCCTCTCATTCCGTGCAAAATTTCGCCCAAATCCGCTGCCTCTACAGTCTCCATTATACGGTTGATATCGATCTCTATTTGACCTTGGTTCTCGGTCGATATCCCTCTTGATTATATCTACGGGCCTAATAGGATAAACGGACCCAGAAGGAGCCTCTAGTTGTTCATCCTCGACCTTGATCTTGACTGATATCGATTGTGCACATCGGCCAAGTGACACCTGGTATTCGATCCAATTCTGCTTCAACTACTGTGAAGCTACTGAACTTTGAACATTGAGACCTTGAGTGAAAACTTGAATAGCCCAATCATCAGTGACCGGTGGCAAATTCATTCGTTCCATTTGGAATCGAGATACGAATTCTCAGAGCATCTCGTTGTCTTTCTGCCTTACCTTGAAAAGGTCTGACTTCCTTGTTGCGACCGTAATGGCCCCGGCGTGTGCCTTTATGAAAGAATCTGCAAGCATCGCAAACGAGTCAATAGAATTAGGCGGATTATGATACCATATCATAGCACCCTTCGATAGAGTCTCCCCGAATTTCTTCAGCAAGAACGATTCGATCTCGTCATCTTTCAAGTCATTTCCTTTGATAGCACACGTGTAGGAGGTGACGTGCTCGTTTGGATCGTTCGTCCCATTATATTTAGGAATCTCGGGCATACGAAACTTCTTGGGGATTGGCTTCGGAGCTGCACTCGGGGGGACAGGTTTTTGTACAAACTTTTTGCAATCTAGTCCTTTCAATATTGGTGGTGCCCCCGGGATCTTTTCGACCCTGGAATTATAGGTTTCCACCTTCTTGTCATTTTCCTTGATTTTTTTTTCACATGTCTCAATTCGCTTTGTCAGTTCTTCGAGCATCTTTATGATAGCAGGGTTGGTCTCAAATTCCATGTCGTTCGACCTCTTCGAAGTCGAATCGACCCTGTGTACGATTTGCTGGGATGGCTCGGGTTCGATCGTGCTCCTTGTGTGGTTCTAATTTAGGAGCTGGGCTATTGCCGCCTGTTGAGCCTGCAACATTTCGAAGATCACCGGCAGGCTGATCCAGCCATCTTCACCACCACGTGCGTTTTGAGTAACCGATCAGGTATCCCCGCGAATGCTGCTTTCGGGATCGACAGCCAAATTTCCATTGATGGCTATATGTGAACTGACGTCGATTGGATCTATAGCCGAAATTCCATCGGGGCCAGCAGGGGGTACAACGTTTCCTAGTGCAATGTTCTCAATATCACCGTGGTGGGCGGGATCATTGTCAATATGTTGATGTGCTGACTGAGAGTTTGACATTTTTAATCCTGTAATCAAAGATACTTCAAAGAACAAGTGTAAAATAGTGTGTGTTACCACAGTTTGTACCAGGTAACCACTATTATTCTTAGCCATACGGTGTGCGCCAAACTGTTTACCCAAAAATCGGATAACAATTGAATTTATACGTGGTTTTAAGGACACGTGATATAACTTTGTACAAATTGAGAAGATACATCAGTATTGAAATAGATAATTAAAGAATAAATATAAACCACACAATTTATACAGCCTTAGCCCTCGAGATCGGTCATCCTTGAACCAAATATGTATCAACTGACTCAAGAAAAGAACAACAAGACAATGATTAATAGAGAATAACAGTATATTTCTTTGTATTGCGTAAATATGATGATGTTTACAAATGATCAGACCCCCTTTATATTGTAGAGGAGTCCTACTCTTGATACAATTCTAAATACGGTAAGATATCCCATGATTGGCTAATTAATCGACCTCTTCTTGATACGTGTCGGGATTCGCGCCGTGATCCTTGCCCGATTGCGGATATTTCGTCTTTCCGTTATTCGACTCAGTAAGCTTCCCTCGATCTCCATCTTATTCTGTCTCGATCTTGTACGATCTCGTTCTTGGTCGATCTCAATCTTAATCGGTCTCAGGGCCTCGAGCTTGGCAACCTAACTTTGCACCATAGTTCGATATAATACGAGGCTAATCCCTGGCTTATCACGCTCCAATCTCGATCAGCCACACAGAAAGCCCAAGCCCGAATTTGACCATATACACCCACAATTTCACATCGTTGAACTATTATCATAAAGAAAAAAATTATGGGTCAGAAGGACATAGGTTTTCCCTGCCATCAACTTTATACGTAGGTGCCACCAGTTGGCGGGACCTGAGGTTTGACATCCCTCCAAAGTCAACTGTTTAGGACATGAGCCATCTTGATTACCATTAACGACATTCAGATAACTACATCCTGAAAAATTAACAGGAATGTCACAGTTAATCAAAATGCTTTTTTTTAAAACCTGTAACGTGGAAAAGAAAAGTCGCATTTTTCAATCATATCTGCTAACTAGTTTAGGTACTTGGTATATCTTAATTTTCCCTAATCAAGTATGCTTTATAGAAGAAAGAAATAATTGAAATTATTTTTCCTCCTTCAAGTTATTTTTGTTGAGATAATAGGAGCTTAACAGTAGCTAGTTAGATTAGTTAGCTTAACAGTAGTTAGTTAGCTTAGTTAATGACAGTTAGGCAATTAGTGACAGCTGGACACAGCTAAGTTAAAGAAGTCGGTTAGTGTACAATATATAGCTAAAGGTAGTTAGTCCTTGTATTTTCAAGTTTCATTTTCTGATATCAGAGAAATGTTCTCTCTATGGTCTCGTTGATCTCTCTTCTTCCTCTTCTCTCTTTTGCTCAATATTTCTCTCCAAAAATCATCATGGTATCAGAGCTTGTGGATTGATCCGAGCTCTGTTCACTCCTCTCTGGTGCTATCATCAATTGTTCTTCATTTCACCCAATAGCTTTCGAGTCGCCATTGTTGGTGAAATTCGTATTTGAGCAGTTAGGGTTTTGAATTCAGAAATTTCTCTGAGTTTTCAACCTCATTATCAATGGCGATTGAGACTTCAGATGGTACTACTGATATTCCTGCACTACCTCCAGCTAGAGGCGGTATTGGCGCTATTCCAGTTGTAGATTAGCATCATCCACTCTTTTTCCAGCCTTGCCATACTCCAGGTAGCTCGTTAATCTCAATTAAACTCACTGGAATTGAGAATTATGCCTTATGGAACAGTTCTATGCGAGTTAGTTTACTTGATAAGAGCAAATTAGGATTTGTCGATGGTAGGTATTCTAAGGACACATTTGATCCATCTTTGCATGAGCTGTAGGAGAATTGCAATGCTATAGTGCTTTCATGGATAATGAATTATATTAGCAATGAATTACTTAGTGGTATGGTGTATGCTACAATTGCTCAGAAGGTTTGGACTGACCTTAGGGAAACTTTTGATAAAGTAAATGGATCTATAATTTTGTACCTTCACAGACAAATAGCCAAGGTATCTCATCAGTTTCAGTCTATTTGCGGGCAGAATTTGATCCCTTGATGCCTTGTCCTGGTTGTGGTTGTGAAGAGTCCAAAAAGTATGTTGAGCAGTTTGAGTCTCAAAGACTTCTGTAGTTTCTAATGGGATTGAATGAATCATATGCTCAGTCTAGCAATCATATTATGATGATGTCACCAAATCCTTCGATTAATAAGGCATATGCTATGATAATATCTGAGGAAAGTAGGAGATCATTGACTCCCCTTAGACATGTGCCTGAGATAAATGAAGGAATAGCCTTGTTTAGCAACAATGGTGGTTACAGGGCTACTAACTCGCCCAGTCCTGGCAACACTGCCATCTACAATAACAAAGGAGGATCTTCCAGTTCAGGACCTGTCTATAGGCACAAGAAGAACAACCTCTACGGTGACTATTGTCATTTCAAAGGGCACACCAAAGATACGTGTTATAAGTTGGTAGGATATCCAGCAGACTTCAAAGCTAAGAAGAAGACTCTCTCCATCAACTATGCTAGAGACAACCAATCTAATGATGATGCCAACTCCGCTTCTATTAGTGACGTTTCTGGTACAAGTTCTAACTTGGCTAGGAATGCAGCACCTTGTCAAGTTCAGAATCAGAACATTCAAGTAGGACTAGCAGGGATTCCACAATTCACTCAGGAGCAGTACACTCAAATTCTGCAGATGCTTGGCAAAGGAAATGAGAATGGTAACTCATCTGTGCCTGCAGGTATAGCAAATGCAGCTACTACTACTAGTGAGGATCTAATTAAGTGGATAGTAGATTCTAGAGCATCAAACCACATGGTTAACAACAAACAAATTTTAACTGAAAGTAGCTTATGTGATAAATCTAAAGAGTGCAAAGTTCATCTATCTACTGGGGAGTCAGTTACTGTCAATCACATAGGTTCTACCTATCTTTTTCCTGGCCAAAAGATAACCAATGTGATGCATATACCTGGATTCCAATACAATCTCTTGTCTGTATCAAAGCTGACAAAAGAACTAAAGTGTGCAGCCTAATTCTTTCCTGACTTCTTCAATTTTCAGGATCTCTTTAGTGGCAAAGTGAAGGGGATTGGTAGAGAGGACAGTGTTCTATATGTGTTCAACCATAACATCAAGCTTCATGTGGACTCTACTGTGACAACTATTCCACAGTGTAATGCTTCAAAAGATTTCTCAAAGTCTATAGCTGTAAATACAATAATTGGCAGTAGAATAAGTGTAGTCCTTTGGCATAAACGACTAGGACATGTGTCACTTAGTACTCTGAAAAGGATGAAAGAGTTTCAGTCTATAGAACTTGATAAGTCTGAAGGTCACTGTACTGTTTGTCCACTAGCTAAACAATCAAGACTGCCATTTCCTTTAAGTAATACTGTTTCTAATGCTTGCTTTCATACTATTCATGAAGATGTTTGGGGCCCTTACAGAGTTCCTACATACGATGGTAAAAGTTACTTTCTAACCTTAGTAGATGATCACTCCAGGTACGTTTGGATTTTCTTGTTACCTTCCAAAGGTTAAGTAATCATAGTGTTAAGAAATTTCTTACTCATGGTTCAGAATGTCTATTCATGTTCTGTAAAAGTGCTCAGAACTGACAATGGCTGTGAGTTCTTTAATTCACAAACGACAGCACCTCTTCAATCCTTTGGAATCATTCATCAGAGTCTTGTGTTTACACTCCTCAGCAAAATGGAGTAGCATAGAGGAGACACAGATACATTCTAGACACTGCAAGAGCCTTGAGGTTCCAGGCATCAGTTCCTCTAAAGTTTTGGGAGAATGTGCTTTAACTGATGTTTATGTGATCAATAGAGTACCTACACCTACTCTCCAAGGCAGGTGTCCGTATGAGGTGTTACACGGTCACTTGCCTTCATTAAAGCATCTGAGGATATTTGGTTGCTTGGGATATGTCACAGACCTCAAAGAGGGTCTAAATTCTCAGCTAGAGTTGTTCCTGCCATATTCCTTGGTTATTCCATGACACAAAAGGGATATAAAATGTATGTTATCCACTCAAGGAGCTTTCAAGTTAGTAGAGAAGCAGTGTTCAAAGAAGAAGTATTTCCATTTAGTGTTCAAAGAAGAAGTATTTCCATTTAAACATCTTCCTACTATTGTCTCCTCCTTATTTCCAGTCCTAGATTTAACCACTATTTCCTCCACTGCTCCTTCTATTTATAGACTGTTGAGTCTGCTAAGCTAGCCTCAGACACTGTCATGCCAGAAGCAATTGTGCAACCTCCTGTTATGCTGGACACACCAGCATCTGTTACACCCACTGAGACAGTTGATGCTTCCAACCTTACAGCACATGACATTCCCATGTCCTCAAATGCACCAGAGGCAAGCAGAAAATCCACTAGAACCAGTAGACCACCTGTATGGATAAAAGACTATGTCACTCAGAAGCAAGGGAATGCTAACCGCTGTTATCCCATGTCCAATTATATTTCCTATTCCAACATATCTCAGTCATTTGGAATTGCTCTTACTGCTTATTCAGCTATTGCAGAGCCTAAGTCTTATTCTGAAGCTGTGAAGCATAAACATTGGATAGAGGCTATGCAATCAGAGATTGCAACCTTAGAGGATAACCACACTTGGAGTATTGTTGACCCACCTCCTTGCAAGATGCCTATAGGTTGCAGATGGGTGTTCAAGGTGAAGTACACTGCATCAGGAGCTGTGGAGAGGTATAAAACCAGGCTAGTGGCTAAGGGCTATAGCTAATAGGAGGGACTAGGTTATACAGAAACTTTTTCTCCTGTGGCCAAAATGGTCACAGTGAGATCTGTCATTGCTATTGTAGCAGCCAAGCATTGGCCTATCTACCAAATGGATGTCCAGAATGCTTTTTTGCAAGGTGATCTTCTAGAAGAAATTTATATGGACATTCCTCATGGGTTTGCAAGCCAGGAAGGGATTCTTAAAGTCTGCAAACTTCATAAATCATTGTATGGCTTAAAGCAAGCCCCTAGACAATGGAACAAAAAGCTAACTGATGCTCTACTGGATCTTGGCTTCACTCAAAGTCACTATGATTACTCTCTTTTCACCAAAAGGGAACAGACTGCACTAGTAGTTGTCTTGGTCTATGTAGATGATCTGCTAGTGACAGGTAATTGTTCCAATTTGATAGTCAAAACCAGGAATGATCTCAAGCTCAAGTTCAAAATGAAGGATTTGGGTGAACTAAAATTCTTTCTTGGGATAGAATTCGCTAGGTCTAGAAAAGGCATAGTAATGAGTCAAAGAAAATATGCATTGGAACTTATCTCTGAAATGGGATTAGGAGGATCCAAACCAGCTGGTACTCGGTTGGAATCTAATGTTAAACTCACATCTGAAGAATATGATTCTTTCATCAAAGGAGACTCCGTATCTGAAGTAACAAAAGATGACAACCTATTGGCAGATCCATGTCAATATCAGAGGCTCATAGGAAGACTGTTATATCTCACTATTGACCAGAATTCATATTGCGTATGTTGTGCAAGTGCTCAGCCAATTTATGCACAAGCCAAAGCAGTCACACCTAGAGGCTGCTCTCAGAGTGGTAAGATACATCAAGTCAGCTCCTAGTCTAGGCCTACTAATGCCTTCAGATAGCTCTGGCACACTTGTAACCTATTATAATTCAGATTGGGGAGGCCGTCTACAAACCAGGAGGTCTGTTACAGGGTATCGAGTGAAGTTTGGGGACACAGTAGCCAGAAGCTCGTTAGAGGCAGAATTCAGAAGCATGGCTTCCACAGTTGCTGAATTGACCTGGTTAACAGGATTGTTCAAGAAGCTGGGAGTTGATGTCAATTGGCCTATCTCTCTATATTGTGACAGTAAAGCTGCCATTCAGATTGCAGCCAATCCTATTTTTCATGAGAGAACTAAGCATATTGACATTGACTGTCACTTTGTTAGGGAGAAGATTGTTCAAGAGATGATAAAAAACTTTCATATCTCGACCAAGGAGCAACTGGCAGACTGACTGACAAAGAGCCTTGGAAAACTGCAGCATAACTATCTTTTGTCCAAACTGCAGCTAAGTTAAAGAAGTCAGTTAGTGTATATACTGAAGGTAGTTAGTCCTTGTATTTTCAAGTTTCATTTTCTGATATCAGAGAAATGTTCTCTCCATGATCTCGTTGATCTCTCTTCTTCCTCCTCTCTTTTGCTGAAGATTTCTCTCCAGAAATTATCAATTTTATTACTCCCTGGATTACAATCTAAATAACATCGGAGTATACCATAAATAAGCTAGGAAGTCAAAGAACATGATACTTAGAGATAGTATTTCTACCTGCATGATCAATAAAAATACGACATCCAGGGATTAAATGTGAAGTTTGATTTATTTAATACCTTGATGAATGTTGTGTTCTCCTAAGTCGGTTCCTTTTCCAACTAAAACAAGTGCGGACAAGCTGCCTTCCTGTCTGAAGCTAATGTGTGTGTGTATATACAAACTTCAGCAATGGATGAGTTCTGTGTGTGTCAACCAGCAGTTGCCCATTCCATCAAAATGATCATCTACTACAAACTAAAATCCTACGGTCATGATCATCAACTACAAACTAAAATCCTAAGGCATATTCTTTGCTGTAGACAGTGGAAGTTAGCTAGCTGCAATAGAGTCTCCTTTTTGCTTCTTCTTTCATGTCAACGAGCTAGTTGCATATCAGCAGCTTCTGGTTATCTGAAAAATGAAAAAAGGACCTTGAAATCTTTGTCTCCAGATGAATCACTATAGCATTCTGACTTGAAGCTGAAGCAGTTTTAAACATTTTTGTCCAGCATTTAACTATAATAAAGGCATCAAAGTTGAAAACTATTGAGAAGATGGTCTTATGGTTTACAGGGTGCTAAAGATAATGTTTCATCTTCCCCATAACATGTGCTAAAGCAATGACCAATTTTGAGAAGAAATCAGGGACTGCTAAATTTGCCATGGATTAAAAGCAATACTCTAATCGTATAGCATTAGACTCTAGATATGCTGCTACATTTGTATAACATATGAAAGATACGTATTAACCGCTTGTACAGAAGAGTTATATTAGTTGAAATATATATAGAAGGAAAAACCGGAAAGCTGAAGTTACTGCAAAGATCATTAAGTTTCGATAGCCTTGAAATATTCAAAAAATTGGACTCCCAAGCAAGTGAAAGTAAGAAATTGTTGGAACACACGTTTGAGCTATCTTCTAACCTAAAATTGATGGAAACATTGCAATGATGAAGAGAAAGTGAGTTTAAAAAAAAAGGCTGCCCCGTGCACAAAGTCATTCCGCATTCACGTAGGGTCCGGGGAAGGGCCGCACCCGATGGGTGTATCAACTCTCATTTGCTGGAGAATGACAAGTTATAAATAATCCAAATGGACGACAAAAGATTTTTGCGCTTAGTACCAAATGACGAAACAGAGCGACCAAATGAAAACAAGTTCCTTTCTTTCTCCAACAACAGGGCCTTTAAGTCGAATTTAGAGGTCAAAGAACAGGGCTGGAAAGCGTACCTCACCTCATATTGGAAATCCAAATCCTGGGTAGTGTGATTGTTGATAAGTCTCAGGCAATAGTTGCACAGCATCCCATTGTTGTACAACATCATAAATGACTTGCTCATTATCTGGCTGATGTAACATTGGATACTGTTCAAGATATTCATATTTCTTTCCATTAGCGGGTGTGGTTTTCATGGAAGACTCATGATGAATGTCAGACCAAGGGTACCAATATACTGCAGGGTAATAATGAACGTGCTTTGGTTCTCTTATGTTCTGGAAACTACTGCAAGTAAAGTAAAGATCCAATGGATGGAGAGTTGGAATTTCTGGATTTACATGGAAACACGGGGTCTGAGAAAAGATCTGGTTGGGACATGGTTTCCAGTGAGTTACAGAGCTCGAAAATTCAGGAGATGATGGTACTTTCACACAAGGTGGAGACGATTTCTCAGCAGTGAAGTTAGCCATCACTTTATCAGCTCTACCGGCAAATGTTACCTCTGAGCAATTAGCATCTACAGAATTGTCAGCAGAATCAGCAGTATCAGTTTTCCACCAACTCTTTGCAACCATGTGCTTTGTTAGATTGTCAGCAGAAATCAGACTGTCCTCATCAGGCAAAAAGATTTCATCTTCCACAAAATCCAAATCAGTAGAAATGTCCACAGGAGGGATCTTGGGCTCTTTTGGCCCTTCCTCATAATTCAGTAAAATCAATTCATCTTCATCCGGTAAACGAAGTGGAACTTCAGATTCTGTTATGTTATCTGTATCAGCCGAGTAACTAACCTTAGATTCCTGCTCCAAATGAATAACTGCTAGTATCTCAGTCCAAAAATCATCAAAAAGAGATGTGCTTTCCTCAATCTCATCCAACTCAAGCTCACAATCAAAGATAGAATCCCTAATCCCTTCACAATCTGTCCCAAAAGCTCCACAATTGCGGAGAACTGGTGCTAAGAACTCATAGGGCTCTAATTGGATGGTTTTCAACTTCCTCTCGTACGAATTTTCCTGAGAAGGAAAGAATGCTTCATCTGAAAGCAACTCATTACTGATTTCAGTTTCAAAATCATCCTTGGACTCCAGATTCAGTTTAAAATTTTCAAGGCTTCCCTCTGCTAAGATGTTGACCGTATGAATACCATTCTCCCTTCTGGCAGTAGATGGCCTCCTCAAACATTTTGTTTCAATGCCAGGAAAGTCAGCATGTGGCAGTGACGCATCCTTCTGCAAAGAAGATAAAAAGGACAAAACTGCACCACTATCATTGCAATCATGCGTAATTATCTGACTGAATAAATATGTATTCCAGTTCAGTCTCATTTCATTTATTTTTTCGACCTTCCTACCCTTTACTTGGTTGACTTGACCAAAGTGTCATCTAACTGTCAAAGGAAACTATGAATCGGATACTTGCATTGACGAATAAGCTCTTAAATCTGGGGAAAAATCCCAGACACTACTTAGAAGACAGATACTGGGACTAAGAAAAATCGCAAGCCTACCGAGAATAAGAGGAAAGTATCGATAATAAAACCGATACTGGGACTTAAGTATCTCTTAGTCAACATCTAACCATGTCCAGAAAAATACCTCAGGTGTCTTTCCAAATTGTGTTCTTTCAGATTCTTCCAAATTAATCGCCTTTAATGCTTTAGCATCTGAATCAGGATGTTCTTGCTGAGAAGTAGCAATAGCAGCATCCTTAGAATCAGGTGCTTCGCACTGTGACTTCTCTTGATCTACAAACTTGTCGACAGATTTTTGGCTTTCAGACAATTTCGCAATCTGCTTGCTCCGATGGGTAGCCAGAACATCAGAACTTTTATCCCCAACTACATTGTTTTGAAGAGTACCATTGTGTAATTGTACATCCTCTTGAGCAGTACAGGCCTTGTTAGCCAGAGACTTAGTTTCTTTTGATGAATGGGTAGCATACGAGTTGGAATTGCCAACCTGCACAATAACAAGGCTTAATTTACAAAAACTACATGCACTTCATGGAATGGGTTGGTCTATTCTTTAAGCATATTGTGAATAAAGAGTATTTGCTTTGCACTAGAGACATACTAGAGCATTACAGGAGCCATAATCATGACCAATCTTGAGTGCATAATAACCTGACCTTGTACGACTGTGGTGGACGATAAGGGTTCTTGCTCTTACTAAGAATTGATCCCAAAATCCCAGAACGATCATTCTGCACCCTGGAATCTGCATTACATGTCTATCATCAGAATAGGGCTATGGGTAGTATAACAGGTTCTTATCTACTCATAACTAGTGAACCATCTATACACTGGGCATTTGAGATGTATGCATGCAACATCCAGACACATGAAGAAAAATAAAGTGTGTTATTGAAACATTGATTTAACCAAGTGAATACAATCTAGCAGAACCTCCTATTACATAAAAAACCTGACTGTTTCTGAAACTAACTTGATTATACAATTCGAGCGCACTCTGCATAATAAGTTCGACATATCAAGGATTGGATTTAATTGATCACAAAGTAAGAGAACTAATTCAATGCATCATAACAACTATTGTCATAGACCTGAATCACAGCTTCCCTGTGGAGTATTCTGTGAGTTCAACCGTGAACATTGTTTCTCCCATCTTCCACAAGATCCTCGAGAAGCAGCAACCAAATCACATCTAATAAAAGTTGAAGGACCAATATAAGAATTGTTTGAAGCATACGGAGGTAGGACCGCAGATGTCTGTTGCATTTCCAGCTTATACTCAGATGCACCATCAAGTTCGCTGTTAGGGAAGCAATTACAAGATGCAGAAAGAACTAGTCACCAAATATAAATTAATAGTAACTAGTTATTAAACCTGTAAGATCAGCGTCAATTGTCACGAGTCAATAAGTCAACCCACGCAGTGATTATTCTATTTCTTTCTTCGATTCATTTTTTTTCTTTTTGTTGCGATAAGCAGAGATATTGTTACCAGCAATTGAATGTAAAAAAGCGGAAGATAGTTTTCGACATCAAATTTCTCAGCTGTAAATGGAAGTGTTCATAAATAAAGTCACGCGAAGTATCTTCTTTTATATGCAATAATTAAGCAGTTCGGCACTTTTTCTCGCAGTTAAAGCACAGTGAACAACTTAATTAAAGCACAAAGGAATCAATAAAGCAATATTAGCAGAGACGACATCAAGCAATTAAAGTTGCGACATTTCACTTACCGTAAAACTGATGAATCAAAATCCTTGGGTAACTCCTTACAAATTTGCAGGTTAATCAATGATAACATGAATGCTTTAGTGTACGTAAGCCTAGATTCTCTGCAGCACAATTATCAAACAAAAAGTTTATGTTAATCAATGTAATACTTGCAATTGGATATAGAAGCGAAAATAAAAATAAAAAAGAGTAAGAAAACGTTAATGTCACTTTAAAATCTCTGTAGTGGTTCTCTCCGATTCCAACCGCTCTCCTGAGCTGTGTTCTTCAATTTCCACACTCATTCTGAAGTCGTTGCTCAAAGTTTCACAGTCAGTACAAGTTCGTACAACTATAGCCCCCTACCTCCACAGTTTCCGCCTGTAACTTTCCGCTACAGCTTCTGAAAATAAGAGACTTATCAAATTTAACACTTGAAACCGAATCAACTCTTCAGAATCGCTAATGTGATGTGTATGTTCTGTAAAAAGCCCTAGCTATTGCACATTTATATCAGAATGTACCAGTGTAGAAGAAGGAGATTAAAGGACCTGATTTGAGAAAATGAGTGGAACTCCAGGTGAATATGTAGAGACGATTACATATTCACATTGTTTTGCACTTTTGCTGTTACAAAGATGGGCTAAAAAACGTGAACTGTACTTATACTATAAGTGGAAAGAAGATTGCAGAGCAAGAAAAGAAAGCAGTGACCGCAGGGGAGTGGGAGGTATTTGTCTTCATTTCTCCCCCTGCTTACTGACATATCGTATGCGTACTTGGGTGGGGTTAAAACAGTCTTTAGACATATACTTTGAACAATTTTATTTTGAGAAAACACAAACGCGTTTAGATAAAAAAAATTCAGTTTCTAAAGTTTTGCTATTTGCTGGAAACTTTCAGAGCATAGCCTCAGAAGTCTCTTCTTAATGACTGAAAAGACTTCTGTTGTATTTTCGGAAAAAATTTCTTTAAAAGGTCTGCGAAGGAGTCGCAAGGTTGAAATTACTATGGGAAAGTTCTTCGAAATAGGCGCAAGGTTACAGGTTATGGTAATTTTCCTTGCCGTTAGTTAACACTCCAAAAGAAAGAGAAAAACAAAGCAAAGAGGAGAAAGAAAAAAATAACTTGAGAAGATGGTCTTATATAATAGGTGTACCTACCATAATATCAAAGATATTTAAATTCTTTTGTTCCTTTGAAAAAAATGGAACATTTTTTTTTTTATTTTTTACTCCCTCTGTTCATTTTTACTTGTCCAGTTTGCACTTTTCACGTCTCTTAAAAATAATAAATGAAGTGCATAATTTATCATGATACACATATTAATTGATGCATAATTTTAATAGATTTGAGAAATTGATTTGAAATCAGTAATTAATACTATTGGTATAACCGGAATAAAGAAGGAAAGTGTCTTGAAATGTTAAAAGTTGCAAGTAAAAGTGAAAATCTATATTTAGAATACTAGATAAGTAAAAATGAATGAATATATTTTTGGTATGCGCTAAAAGGAGTAGCGGTTCAATTTTTATTACCTACACGACTTTTGTGAAATATGTCAAAATGGCTTCCTTTTAAAAAGATCATGTAACACCATTAACATATGCAGGGATACATAGAAATCTGAATATCATGCTTTAATGTTGGTCTACATAACTCTTTTCTTTTCTTACTTCAGTGGACCTTTTTCATACATTCATATCTTCCAATAGTTTATCGTGAAACCTCGGCATTATTGCATTTGCTTTTATAAAAATTCTAAAGTTTGTTAAGCATAATTTGGACATTGTAGGTCAGCTTATTTGTATAAGAGTTACTCTCCACGTAGTTACGATTTTATCTGTTTAAGTGTCTCGCATAGGGGTCTTTCGGGGAATTAATTATCCAACAAGGACGTTATTTTGGGCATTTAACTCTAGCTCAGTTGACCAGTTTAAAAGGAGAGAATCAGCTAGAAGAAGAATACTCTCCCTGAAAGAGTACCTTGGTCCTTTCAGGTAATTAGTCATCTGAATTGTTTTCACAGGGGTACCCTACTTAGTAGTTACCCTGTTACCCACCACATCTAATTTGCCCAGCTCAGGGCATTCATGTTAATTTGAGAATATTCGTTGGACTGTACATCCTGGAAAAGAGTAGAACCGAGTATAAAAAAGGCAATATGAATAGTCTATTAACATTCAGAAATCCGATGACAAACTCTGATAGTAACACTTGGACGAGACACTAACTACTCCAAGACACAAACTAGATGACACAGTAGCTTACACAACTGGCTCAATCGACCCATCGGAACCACTAGCCAAAAAGGTAGTACTAAACAGAAGAAAACAGAACCAAGAGTAAAATGTATGTTCAGCAGACATCTTCAAACCAAGCAGCGTGCTTAGTCCACTTCTTCCATCTTGCTTTCCTCACCAGTTTCCTCTAGTGCAGGCATGTCCGCATCTTCAACAGCTTCCTCTTCCTCGTCAATGCTCAGACCCAACTTCAACATCCTGTGAATCCTTGCAGCAAAAGTGTTAGGGTCATCAAGACTAAAGCCAGATGTCAGTAGCGCTGTCTCAAAGAGCAACAACACAAGATCCTTCACTGATTTGTCATTTTTATCAGCCTCAGCTCTCTTACGCAGTTCTTCCATGATTCCATTGTCGGGGTTAATTTCCATTGTCTTCTTGCTGGACATGTAAGAGCTCATGCTGCTGTCCCTCAAGGCCTGAGCCTTCATGATCCTTTCCATATTGGCTGTCCAACCATATTCGCCAGTAACCAAGCAACAAGGGGAATCAACAATCCTATCAGATACAACCACCTTCTCAACTTTGTCGCCAAGGATGTCTTTAATGATCTTGCAAAGGTTCTCAAAAGACTTTTTCTTCTCCTCCTTTTTCTTCTTCTCTTCTTCACTGTCATCATCAAGCTTCAGTCCCTCCTTTGTAGCAGAGACTAGTTTCTTACCATCATATTCTTTCAGCTGCCCGACTGCATATTCATCGATGGCATCAACCATGTAGAGTACTTCATATCCTTTCTTCTTGAGACGTTCCAAGAATGGAGAGTTCTCCACTGCCTTCTTGCTTTCTCCAGTGATATAATAGATGTCTTTTTGGCCCTCCTTCATTCTGGTGACATAATCCTTCAGACTGGTCATCTCATCACCACTCTTGGTGGAGTGGTAACGAAGAAGGTCAGCCAACTTGGCTCTGTTCTGGCTGTCCTCATGAATACCCAACTTCAAGTTCTTTGAGAAAGCCTCATAGAACTTGTTGTAGTCCTCCTTATTCTCAGCAATCTCATTGAACATCTCAATACATTTCTTCACGAGGTTCTTCCTAATCACCTTGAGAATCTTGTTCTGTTGTAGCATCTCACGAGAGATGTTGAGAGGCAAGTCATCAGAATCAACAACACCCTTCACAAATCCGAGGTACTCAGGAATAAGTTCCTCGCAGTTGTCCATAATGAACACCCTCCTGACATAAAGCTTAATGTTGTTCATCTTCTTCCGGGTGTCAAAAAGATCAAAAGGAGCTCTCTTGGGCACAAAGAGGATTGCCTTGAATTCAAGCTGCCCCTCAACAGAGAAGTGTTTGACAGCAAGGTGCTCCTCCCAATCATTGGTCAAGCTCTTGTAGAAAGAGGCATACTCATCCTTGGTGATCTCCTCTGGTTTGCGCAACCAGATAGGTTTCTGCTTGTTAATGAGCTGCCACTCATGAGAAACCTCTTTAATCTTCTTTTTCTTGCCTTTCTCCTTCTCTTTATCCTCGTCGACCTCCTCAACAGCACCCTCCTCATCTTTCTTGGGCTCATCATCTTCATCATCACTGATTTCTTTCTCGGTAGTCTTCTCAGTCCAGAGATAAATAGGGTAGCTGATGAATTCAGAGTGCTTCTTCACTAAATCCTTGATTCTCCTCTCCTCCAAGTACTCCAGCTGTAATTAAATCAAAATTAATTACAACCACCTCTAAATTAGGACTAATGAATTTTTAACATTAATCATTCCTGCAGTTAAGTAGTGCTGCTTACCTGGTCCTCTTTAAGGAAGAGAGTTATTTTAGTTCCTCTGCCCAATTGCTCACCATCGACATCCCTTGTAACAGTGAATGAACCACCGGCTTGTGATTCCCAGACATACTGCTCATCATCGTTGTGCTTGGTGGTCACAATGACCTTCTCTGCTACGAGGTAAGCAGAATAGAAACCAACACCAAATTGACCAATCATACTAACATCAGCTCCAGCCTGCAACGCTTCCATAAATTCCTTTGTGCCGGACCTTGCAATTGTACCCAAATTGTTGACCAAATCTACTCGAACCAACAGAAAAAAACAGAGTCATCAGTATCCATTCTACAACTAAATCCGGACATCCTTATAAATCAACTCAACCATCCTCCTCCTAGAGTATGAACCATTGGCATCAATCAATCGATTAGTACCAGATAGCTAAACTGCATGCGTCGATATGTGAGATTAAATTTTCTCCAAGGATTAATGGGAAAATCATGACAATACCACCAATATTTGGATATGAATATACGTTTTCAAATCAAACACACAAATTAAATTCAAGCGGAAGTTAAAAATTTCTCCATACGAAAAATGCACTTTCCTAACGTTAAACTACAGCAACATATGCATACAGATAAAAATTTCATTGAAACAAAAGTCTACGAAAAGCTAGCACCGATAAATCTCTTGGAGAAAAACAGAGCAATATAACGCTGGACAAACAACGGAATAGTAACAGTAGATGAACAATGCGATTACCTGCTTTAGTCATGCCGATTCCGCTATCGATAATGGAGAGGGTCTTATTAGCCTTATCCGGAACAAGGCGAATGAAGAGCTCAGGTTGAGCATCGAGCTTGCTCTTATCCGTCAAACTCTCGAATCGAATCTTGTCCAATGCATCAGAAGAGTTGCTAATAAGTTCCCGAAGGAAAATCTCCTTATTGCTGTAGAAAGTGTTAATGATTAAACTCAACAACTGATTAATCTCAGCCTGGAATGCGAAGGTTTCTGCCTCAGCCATTTGAACATCCGCCATTTTAGAAATGCAGAGAATGCGAAGCTTGCTAGGACGCTATGAATAGAGATTTTCGTAAGAACACTTTGGATCTGATTTTCGTGAGGAAGGGGAGAGTGGTTTATATATGAATGCAGAAGAATTCTAGGTTCTTCTATCAGCGAAAGAAGTTGCCTTGACGAAGAGGTGAAATCTCTGCTTCTCGAGTCTTCTACGTCCGTCTACACAAAAAAGTGCTTCCTCTCGCTGACGTGGAATGAGTATACGCACATAAAATAAAAAAAAGTTTTGTCCACCTAAGACATCTGGAATGTTCTTAACCAAAAAACTTCCAGTTCCTACTTGTCATCACAACAAAATAATAAAAAACTTTATCTATAGATGGACTTGTCCTGTATTGAGTAAATAATTTTATTTTCCTATAGGACAAATATTTTATATAGGAGTAATATTTATTGGATTACAAATCTAATCTTATTTTCTCGTGTATATTCTCCAAGTGGTTTTCTGACAACCATAAAGATAAAGAAAGATAAATAGAAAATAAAAAAACTACAAAATAATTATTAAAAAAAATTAAGCGACGAGTGGATGGGAGGCCGAGCGAATATTAAAGGAAAAAGAGAGGAGTACATATAAAAGTGAAATTATTTACCCTGCTCTACCCATAAAAGAATTCTACCCATTAAATAATTACAATCCCCTACCCATTTAATAAACAAACGGG